GTGATGATGTAAAAGCATAATTGGACCAAACCAAGTTTATCAACTTATTGCACATACCAAAGGAATATCAGAAAGTATAGTGCCAACCTCTAAATAAATTATTTAATGTCCTTTTCTAATTTATTTAGTTAATTAGGTGATTAAAGCAATATATAGTAAAACTATTCAGAAAAATCTACAAAAATTACAGTAGCTATCTCATGCTTCACATAGACTACCATAAAAATTTTAAAGCCATTGGGCAAGCAGAACTTGCTGTATCCAAAATAACATGTGGCATGTCTATTTCTAGCATAATTAGGAAACCCTATTAAAAAGTGTCAAGCAATAGATTTCTCATTTTTTCTAGCATCATTCTAGCCTAAGAATAGCACTCACCAAATTTTACCTTTACTGGATCTATAGAAAAATTATGAAAATTCACACAAGATCCATCCATGCAAACAAGAGAATTTTCTATCTCCACAGCTCACAGCTCATGCGCAAGCGCAGCCCAGCCACGTCGCGGCCCAGGATGGCTCCCGCCTCCGCTTCAGCGACTGACACACGGGACCCGCGAGACAGTGAGACAGGTAGGGGAGGAGAAAGAGACGGCGAGGTAGCTCGTCGACGGCGATAGCTCCGGCGAGTCCAGCGGTGCTACGGCGTTCACCTCACCCGTGCGCATCTAGCGGTGCCATCAATTGAAGCTATTGTTGTGGCTAAAGGCAATGGCGACGGCAATGGCGGCGCACGGCCACGGCTTGGCCGGCTCCGACGAGGCTACTGCGTCACGGCCCTAGTGGCCTACTCTATGAGCTTCAGCGTCACGCACAGGACCTAGCAAGGGAGAGAAGGGATTAGAAAGCCGCGCGGTGGCAGTTGGCCGCATGGAGCACCAACTCTGGCGAGGTCCCGCCATGGCGGCGGTGGAAGAAATGGTGATTACGCCCTTGCCAAACCCTAATCGACCCGGCTGAATGGTGGAGGAGGTAGAGGAGATCACGGCGAAGCTAGGAGTAAGAGGGCCGACGCATTTTTGCAGTGGCGAGCGCGCAAGGCGACGACGACGCTCGGTCGGAAATGGAGAAGCTGCGGTGGCTTCGGTGCTGCGCGCGGTGGAGGCGAAAGAATGCAAATGGAGCAGGCGAGTGCGTCGGGTAGGCACTGGCTTTCATCAGGAGCTCGGACACGCGACGTGGAGACGTTGGCCAAGCATGCGCGCCACGCGGCGATCAGCTCCTGAGCCGGTCGGCCACGGCGAGCTCTGTCCGTTATCTGAAATTTTCGATTTAGTGTTCAATGACGACGACTGACAGCGCGAATTCGACGTGTCAACACGGCTAAACCATTGATCCATTGCAAAAACTGTGTACATGAAAAATGTAGGCCTACCATCCATCTACAACTTCTTTTCAAGGACCATCATCTAATTCGCCATGGATCAGAAGTTACATCAAGCCAAAGGTGGCTCAATCAAACTGAAAATGCAGTTAGGACTTAGAAATATTTTTCAGTGTTGAATCCACCATCAATAATGACTTGTGGGCCATGTTTGAGCATGTTCTAGCCATTTTCATGAGTTGATCATAAAACAACTTTTGTTCCTTGATAAATTGGCTACAGCTTTGGTAAAGGGTGCACTACCATGCAAGGTCTCTAAGTTGGTCTTTTGAGTCAGTCAAACAGTGGCACTCTAAGGGTCATTCAAAGTCAAACCTCCACTTGAGGGCATTTTTGTCATTTTAATCCATATGAACAATGTTCCAACAATTACCCTAAGTGTAGTTAAGGTGTGTTAGACCATAATCAACCACTTTACACAAGTGCTATACCAATTTCTAATGATCACATGTGATGAAGCAACAAAACAATCAATTCACTCAAATGTTGCAATTCCATGTTTCACATGTTTCATTACTTTTGTTGCAATTTTAACTTGCCACATTCCTACCATGTTGCCATGTTTCAAGGTATGAGAAACTCATGTTGCATTCACATGTTGCACTACTATCATTCACAAGCAAATCAAGTATGAAACAAACAGAATTGCGAATGTTGCATATGTATGTTTCAGTGACAATGGCATGATGTGATAGATGATGCACATGTTTATGAAATGAAATGCAATTTTGTGGAAGCCAAACACTTGGGGTGTTACAGCGATCCTGACATTTTGCACTCAGGCGACCCCAGTGGTTGTAGCCCCCGAGCATCAGCTTGCAAGTACTTGGACATGAGCTGTCGAGTAGTTGGTCACCGCAGCCAAAGTAGTCGGAAACTGTGACGAGTAGTCAGACAACTGGCTTCCGGCTCGGGATGTGGCCGGACAACTGGCTTGCCCCTGGCTTGGACAGCTTGACGTAGTCGTACCATGACCCGATTTCTTGAGGGAACTTTGAATGTACTTCGAGTTGTATTCTTGATAGGTTGGTGCCGCGTTCTAGAGCCCCACCAGAAAAGAACTCGGATTATTCTCGAGAGAACTCTGAATGTTCTTCGAGTTAAATTCTTGATAGGTTGAGGCCGCGTTCTAGAGCCCCGCCGGAAAAGAACTCGGACTATTCTCGAGAGAACTCTAAATGGTCGCGTTGTGAAGTCCTAACGAAAAAGAACTCGGACCAGCGTGGAAAACGGTTGGTCGTGAAATCTGAGTCGGATCAGACATCACGAGCCGCGCGAGTTTCCCGGTGATTTGATCTGCCGTAGTTGCCAAAATAGTGAGGTCTTCATGGTGATCCGAATCTTCTAGGAGACGGCCTTGAAGCCTGCCGTTGTCGTCCGCCTCGCAGATCCATGAACCGAAGATGAAGGTTGATCCCGTCGAGAAGATCATGTTGTCGAGGTCCGTCGAGCTCTCGGATGTAAATTCGTCGAAAGACCCTACCTGGCGCGCCAGCTGTCGATGTTTGACCACCGATAGCCTGCTACGGGGGTACCCGGGGCAGTATGTTCGGGCTTCAGCGTATGCGGAACTCGATGGTAAACGCAAGAGATAGTCGATTTATCCTGGTTCGGACCCTCGATCGTTGATCGAGTAATAGCCCTACGTCCAGTCGGTGTTAGCCTTTGCGTTGGATTGATTGTGAAGTATTGTGTCGCAAAGTCTCATCTCTAGGAACCCTGCCCTCCTTTATATATTCAGCAGGCCAGAATTCTAGTCGGTTTACAATGAGAGTTCCTAGTAGGATTACAGAATAATACTACTACTAAGATTACATGGGAAGAATCCTAGTTAGACTAGATCTTCTCCCTTTCTTGCGGGGTATCCCGTGGGTCCCGCACCGACACTGGTGCGCAGTAGAGTCTAGGAAAAGACGACAAGGGCAACCAGAGGTGCTAACCATAATCACGAGTGATGGTGCCACAATGCCCACCCAGAGATGCAATTAGATCTCCTCCTAGCTACCCACACCAATGGCGATGATGGGGTGGTGCGCTTGCCCATGCTTGACAACCCTGAGCGGCCATGGAGAGGAGTCGTTTGCACTAATACCGTCGTCAGGGCCAGGTGCCTCCACGGCCTCAGTCATCGTCCAACTTTGCGCCCGCGGCTAGGCTCAGGCATTGGTTGCGGTCAGGTGCGTGACTGGGCTAACCTAGTTGGCAGCGGTCGCAAGTGTGTCCAGCTTCGGCGGGCACATGAGTGCTAGACACACAGACGAGGAGTGGTAGAGGTGCGATCTGGCCCTCACTGGTGCTAGTGTGTACCATGTCAGCAAACGGGTCTAACTTGGACCTGTGACATAGAGTAGGCCTAGTACACATATGTGGATATGCATTTTGGGAGTTCAGGGACCTAGATGACACCCATTACCAAATTTATAAACCACTGATGCATTTCACTCAACCTCATGTGAAACTACCGCCTCGTGTGAAATGGCACCATGGGTCACCCCACCCATATGTGAAAGTTCGTGTGAAAATAGGAGTCATTCGTGGAGTTGTGGGCATAAAAGATGGGGCACCATTACACTAAAGATTTCACGCCTGAAAATGTTTGTGATGCATATGCAGCTACCGGCTAACTTTATTAGGGTTGTTCGTTTGAGTGATGCATATGTAGCTACCGGCTAACTTGGTTGGGGTTGTTCGTTTGAGATGACTGTACAATTTCAGTGGTTGCGACTGCTTGGTAGGTATAGGGGTAAACTGTTGCTGCTAAACTGAATGCTATAGTCACTTCTGCAACTGGATAACTAGCACTGGAAACCGTCTTTACATTGGATAGTTCGGTGACTTCCGTATTTATTTAGAAGCAAGATTCTGCTTGCGGTGAGTATCTTTTTTAGAATGTTGTGCTAATTTTTTTTTTGAGACTTAGTAGTGCTTTTTTTTTTTGAGTAGAGAGTGTAGAGAAAGGCAGGATGAATTGGGCCTGGTCGGCTACATGCCTGTATGGGGCTCAGAACATATATAGACGCACACGCATTGTAGCCCAACTCACGATGTTTCTATCTACAGAGCAAGCCCATCCAGTCAACCAGTCGAACTTTGCCTCCGCGTTGACTTCGCCCAATGGGCGGTACCCCACCCATCCCCACCGTCCGTCCCCCATCCAACGTCCCACCTGCCCCCGATCCATAGGCTGTTCCGCATTACGCCCGCCCGCATCCCCGCACCCAGTCCACATACACCAACACATCCTCGCCCACCGCCTCTACCTGTACCACCGTACACCGCGCCCGCCAGCCAAGCCAGCGCAGGATAGCCCTCACGGCGCACGCTGCGTCTATAAATACACCCCTGCCCCCTCCTCGCCGAGCCCTTTCCTCAGAGGCACCCTCAGGATCCCCTTTCCCCTTCCTCCCAACTCGCGGAGGCGGGCGCGCGGATCTGTCGGCCGGGGGCCGATCCATTCGATTCTACCGGGCGAGGCCGCCAAAAACGCACTAGCTCGACTCAGCGAGCCGGGCCGAGCCTTCGTGCCGCGGGGCGCCGGTGGCGGGGCGGCGCAGCGCGCAGCGATCTGAAACCCTAGGTGGTGGTGGTGGGCGGCGCCGCCGCCGGGTGCAGCCGAGATGGACGCGAGGTTCCCGTACTCGCCGGCCGAGGTGGCCAAGGTCGAGCTCGTGCAGTTCGGCATCCTCAGCCCCGACGAGATCGTAATACCCCTCGCCCCCCCTCCCCTACCTGGCTCTGTTTGCTTTTGTCTTTCGAGCGGGTCGAGGGTTGAGTTGAGTGGGCGGCAGTAGTGTAGCTACTAGCTTGACTATGGCTATGGCTGTTTGCTAGTTTACCAGTACCAACTCGGTTCTGATGTCAGGATTTTAGTTCAGGGTACGTTTTGGTGTAATTCGTGCTGGGTATGTGGTTTGAGCTTCACTATCGGCTTGCCTGGGTTGGTCGAATTCAAGCAAATTGAGTTTAGTACAACCGTACAGACCTTCATTCCCTAAAATTTTAGCATTGTTATAGGAAAAAACAAAATGTATTGCTGCTTGAAACCTGGAACTATGTATATACGTTGTTGGAACTATGGAAAGTATTACACATAGAGGAAATGTATGGTTGAGTTTGAACTTGGCAACTACTTTGTTAATGTATGGTTGAGTTTGAACTTGGCAACTACTTTGTACATAGGTTTCGAGTGATATGATGAGTTGATGTGATGTTGTGATTCACAGTCTATGATTGAGCTTCAACCTGGTTGTTGTGTGCCAAGTGACCTAATCTGTTTCATGTAGTATGGTTTTGATTCTGTCGAGTTCAACTTCAACTGAAACAGTTGTGTGTTCCGTACGAACATAACGGAAATTCCATGTCAGTTAGTAACAAGATGACGTTACTCCTGAGTTTGTTTAACTGTATAATTTATTGTGCTGAATAGTAACGCTTCATTAAAGTTATTCTGCTTTGTTTGTATGCGGTGAGTGAGGTACAGGTTTCTGGGGATACAAACTAATGACTATTGATTTCTTTCTGCTTTTGTGTAGAGACAAATGTCGGTGGTTCAAATAGAACATGCAGAGACCATGGAGAGGGGAAAACCGAAGCCTGGTGGGCTCAGTGACCCTCGATTGGGGACTATTGACCGGAAAATTAAGTGCGACACATGCATGGCAGGGATGGCAGAGTGCCCAGGCCACTTTGGACACCTTGAGCTTGCCAAGCCGATGTTCCACATTGGATTCATTAAGACTGTGCTCTCCATCATGCGCTGCGTCTGCTTTAACTGCTCCAAGATCCTTGCGGATGAGGTATCCCTTGGGCTTGGTTGTTGCTTGATATGTGTGTACATCTTGCTATACTGGAAGGACTTGTCATTTTAAATTGAGGCATGGTAAACTGAAAATGCAAGACTCCTTGTGTGTTCTCACCCTTCAATGCATATGAAAATTATGGTTGCCCCATTTTACTCTACCTGGCGTTGTTCATCATTAGCACGTTTTCTCACTAGCCATTAACTTTTTTAGGTATCATTATAGCATGTAAACTGTTATTATTTTACTTTTCCTTTACCATCCTATGATCTAATATGTCTTCATGGTTTGTTCTAACATGTTTGATGAAGCTTATAAGCTTATGTGTGTATATTTTGTATTCATTGCATTATTCCTATAGTGATCAGGACAGTGGAACCGACCAAACACCAAGTTTTGAGTCTTTTGTCATGAGCTCTGGTTCAAGCGTTCAGACATTTGACCACTTAATTAGATGCTCATAATTTTTAGCATTTGTGTTTCCAAACCAAATTAACTTCACATTTTAATCACCATTTATCCATTTTTTATCATGCAGGATGAAACCAAATTTAAGCAGGCTCTAAAAATCAGGAATCCGAAGAATAGATTGAAGAGAATATATGATGCTTGCAAGAGCAAAAAAGTCTGTGCAGGTGGCGATGACCTTGATGTTCAGGAGCAGGATACTGACGAGCCTGTTAAGAAAAGAGGTGGCTGTGGTGCTCAGCAGCCAAATATTACAGTCGATGGTATGAAGATGGTTGCAGAGTTTAAAGCTCCAAAGAAGAAAAATGATGATCAGGATCAACTCCCTGAGCCAGTGGAACGCAAGCAAATCCTCTCAGCAGAGAGGGTATAATTTCGATAATCTCTATTCAGTTCAGCAAGTTATGCTACTTCTTGTAATTGGTTTCTTACATGGCTTGTTTGACCAGGTCCTTAATGTTCTGAAGCGTATAAGTGATGAGGACTGTCTTCTGTTGGGCCTGAATCCCAAATATGCCCGTCCTGATTGGATGATACTTCAAGTTCTTCCAGTCCCTCCACCCCCTGTTAGACCATCTGTCATGATGGACACTTCTTCCAGAAGTGAGGTAAGCCTAATACCAATATACTCCCTCCATCCCAAAATAAATAACTTTGTAGAAATTTTCAGACAGATTAAGAATGCTGGCAAAAGACACATGTGTCCTCATCTCCTTTCCTTTCCGTAGGATATCTCCTGAATTTGGTAGTTATCATTTGCATGCACCTGTGATTAGCTTCCGCATTAGGTGTCAAATGTCCCATGTTTTTGTAGAATGCTATTTTTTGGGGCAAATTTTAAACCTCAGAAAGTTATCTATTTTGGGCCGGAGGGAGTAGTTATTATGTGTCTAATTGTTGTTGCATGGATGGAGAAATGCAACCTTGTTGTTCTATGTTTGAGGGCCTACTACTTCAGTCCCTGTTGTAAAGAAGCTATTTATTTCACAGCTCCTCACTGTCATTCTTCTTGGATTTTGTGCTGTTTCTACAGGATGATTTGACTCATCAATTAGCTATGATAATACGGCATAATGAGAACTTGAGGAGGCAAGAGAGAAATGGCGCTCCAGCTCACATTATAACAGAGTTTGCTCAGTTGTTGCAATTTCATATTGCAACATACTTCGATAATGATCTTCCTGGCCAACCCAGGGTGAGTGGTTTAGAATGTTACTTTGCATGTATAAAACCTATATATATATATCAGAATAGGTCTCATGGATCTTTTCTTTTTGTTGAAATGCTCAGGCCACACAGCGTTCTGGAAGGCCTATTAAATCAATTTGCAGCAGGCTGAAAGCTAAAGAAGGCCGGATTAGAGGGAACTTGATGGGCAAGCGTGTTGATTTCTCGGCCCGAACTGTCATCACACCGGATCCAAACATAAACATTGATGAGTTGGGAGTACCATGGAGTATTGCTTTGAACCTGACATATCCTGAAACTGTTACTCCATATAATATTGAGAGGTGAACCTGTTTTTATTGACAAATGTCACTTAATTACTGTGCTTTTGCTGATCATTTGCAGCTAAATCCAATAATTTCAGGTTGAAGGAACTTGTCGAATATGGGCCTCACCCTCCCCCAGGGAAGACCGGTGCAAGGTACATTATCAGGGAAGATGGTCAGAGGCTTGATCTTCGATATGTGAAGAAAAGCAGCGATCAGCATCTGGAGCTTGGTTACAAGGTGAGTATCAACCTCCCCATGACTATAGAAGCTGCTGCTTTTCTAAACATTCTCATTGTAAAATTGTTTTATGTTTTGACCCATTTTGTGCCTGATTTCAACAGGTGGAGAGGCATCTCAATGATGGGGATTTTGTTCTTTTCAATCGGCAACCAAGTCTTCATAAAATGTCTATCATGGGGCATCGCATCAAAATTATGCCCTACTCAACTTTCCGGTTGAACTTGTCTGTCACGTCACCATACAATGCTGACTTTGACGGTGATGAGATGAATATGCATGTCCCTCAGTCATTTGAGACCAGGGCAGAAGTTCTGGAGTTAATGATGGTGCCAAAATGCATTGTCTCTCCACAATCAAATAGGCCTGTCATGGGCATTGTCCAAGACACACTGCTTGGTTGTCGCAAAATTACTAAAAGGGACACTCTAATTGAAAAGGTGAATAAGAGAAATTTCACTTGTCCTTTCCAATTGTATTCTGTTCAGTTTTGTGGCTCATTTAAATTTCATTCCAGGATGTATTTATGAACATCTTGATGTGGTGGCAAGACTTTGATGGAAAGATTCCTGCACCTGCCATTTTGAAACCTAGGCCTATTTGGACTGGGAAACAAGTTTTTAACTTAATTATCCCCAAGCAAATAAATTTAATACGGTTTTCAGCATGGCATTCGGAAGAAGAAAAGGGATTTATTACTCCTGGTGATACTATGGTCAGGATAGAGAAGGGAGAGCTTCTGTCTGGTACACTTTGCAAGAAGAGTCTTGGAACAGGCACTGGAAGTCTTATCCATGTCATTTGGTAATTATGCCTAATCTGAATTTTACTTGTTGAAAGTTGCATGACAATAAGAAATATTGCCCATTTCCATTTTCTAAGCAAATCCCGTTTTAACTTGTTCTTTTCAGGGAAGAGGTTGGTCCAGATGCAGCCCGGAAGTTCTTAGGACATACGCAGTGGCTTGTAAACTACTGGCTTCTTCAAAATGGTTTCAGTATTGGAATTGGGGATACCATTGCAGATGCTTCCACCATGGAATCGATTAATAAAACAATTTCTGATGCTAAGGATGCTGTGAAGGAGCTTATTAAAAAGCACATGAGAAGCAGTTGGAAGCTGAGCCAGGACGCACCATGATGGAATCATTTGAAAACAGAGTGAACCAGGTACTGATTGCTTCTGTTTTGCTTTCGTATTATATATATAGCCTTTGTTTATGTCATTCAGAGGAGTATTCAGCGTTTAGGTTGAGTTGTTCTAACCTCAATACAATCCATTTCTGTTCAGGTTCTTAACAAAGCTCGTGATGATGCTGGGAGCAGTGCTCAGAAGAGCTTGTCTGAAAGCAACAATTTGAAGGCTATGGTCACTGCAGGCTCAAAAGGAAGTTTCATTAACATTTCACAAATGACTGCTTGTGTGGGACAGCAGAATGTTGAGGGCAAGCGGATCCCTTTTGGTTTCATTGATCGGACGTTGCCACATTTCACAAAAGATGACTACGGTCCTGAAAGTCGTGGATTTGTAGAAAATTCTTACCTCCGAGGTCTGACACCACAAGAATTTTTTTTTCACGCTATGGGTGGTAGAGAAGGTCTCATAGATACTGCTGTGAAGACCTCTGAGACTGGGTATATCCAGAGGAGACTTGTGAAAGCTATGGAGGACATCATGGTGAAATATGATGGTACTGTAAGAAATTCTCTAGGAGATGTCATTCAGTTCTTGTATGGAGAAGATGGAATGGATGCTGTTTGGATTGAAACTCAAAAAATTGGACTCATTGAAGATGAAGAAGCTTGAGTTCGATAATTTATTCCGTTATGAGCTGGATGACGAGAACTGGAGACCTAACTACATGCTACCTGAACATGTTGACGATTTGAAGACCATACGTGAATTCAGAAATGTGTTTGAGGCAGAGGTTCAAAAGCTAGAAGCTGATCGGTACCAGCTTGGGACTGAGATCGCCACAACTGGTGACAATTCGTGGCCTATGCCTGTGAACCTCAAGCGGCTCATCTGGAATGCTCAGAAGACATTCAGGATTGATTTTAGAAGACCTTCTGACATGCACCCGATGGAAATTGTGGAAGCGGTAGATAAACTGCAAGAAAGACTTAAGGTTGTACCTGGTGATGATCCTATGAGCATTGAGGCTCAGAAGAATGCAACCTTGTTCTTTAATATCCTGCTTCGTAGCACGTTTGCTAGCAAGAGGGTCTTGAAGGAATACAGGCTTACAAAGGAAGCTTTTGAATGGGTTATCGGTGAGATTGAATCGAGGTTTCTTCAGTCTTTGGTGGCCCCTGGTGAGATGATTGGATGTGTGGCTGCACAATCAATTGGAGAACCAGCAACACAGATGACCCTGAATACCTTCCACTATGCTGGTGTCAGTGCCAAGAATGTCACCCTTGGAGTTCCCAGGTTGAGGGAGATCATTAATGTTGCCAAGAAGATAAAGACTCCATCTTTGTCTGTTTACCTGAAGCCTGAGGTGAACCAGAAGAAAGAATTGGCTAAGAATGTCCAGTGTGCTTTGGAGTACACCACACTGCGTAGTGTTACCCACGCCCACAGAGATATGGTATGATCCTGATCCTCTAGGAACCATCATCGAAGAGGACTTAGAGTTTGTTCAGTCCTATTACGAAATGCCTGATGAGGATATTGACCCGGATAAAATTTCTCCTTGGCTGCTGCGTATTGAGCTTAACCGTGAGATGATGGTTGATAAGAAGTTGAGCATGGCTGATATTGCCGACAAGATTAACCGTGAGTTTGATGATGACTTATCATGCATTTTTAATGATGATAATGCGGATAAGCTCATCCTCCGTATCCGCATCACAAATGATGAAGCTCCAAAAGGAGAAATACAAGATGAGTCTGCTGAGGATGATGTCTTCCTAAAAAAAGATAGAGGGTAATATGTTGACAGAGATGGCGCTTCGAGGCATTCCAGATATCAACAAAGTGTTCATCAAAGAAGGGAAGGTCAATACTTTTTATCAAGACGAAGGTTTCAAAGCAGCTAATGAATGGATGCTTGATACAGAAGGTGTGAATCTCTTAGCTGTCATGTGTCATGAGGATGTTGATGCTACAAGGACAACAAGTAACCATCTGATTGAAGTGATTGAGGTACTTGGAATTGAGGCTGTTCGTAGATCTCTCTTGGATGAGCTTCGGGTGGTGATATCTTTCGATGGATCCTATGTGAACTACAGGCATCTGGCCATTCTTTGTGATACAATGACATACAGAGGTCACTTAATGGCGATTACAAGGCACGGTATCAACCGCAATGACACTGGGCCTCTTATGAGATGTTCCTTTGAAGAGACTGTTGACATCTTACTTGATGCTGCTGTATATGCTGAATCTGACCACCTGAGAGGTGTCACTGAAAACATAATGCTTGGTCAGCTTGCTCCTATTGGTACTGGAGGCTGTGCACTATATCTGAATGACCAGATGCTGCAGCAAGCAATTGAACTTCAACTTCCAAGCTATGTGGAAGGCCTAGACTTCGGCATGACACCAGCACGATCACCCATCTCCGGGACACCTTACCATGAAGGAATTATGTCCCCAAGTTATCTGCTGAGTCCAAACATCAGGGCTTCCCCCCATTAATACAGATGCTTCGTTCTCACCATATGTTGGGCACATGGCATTCTCACCATTCCCTTCACCAGGTGGTTACTCTCCATCGTCAGGGGGATACAGTCCATCTTCTCCAGTTTTCACCCCAGAGAAAGGATATAGCCCTCTTTCTCCATCATACAGCCCTGCATCGCCAAGCTATAGTCCCACCTCACCATCATATACACCTGGCTCTCCCACCTACAGTCCCACAAGCCCGAATTACTCCCCAACAAGTCCGACTTACTCGCCTACCAGTCCATCATACTCACCGACATCTCCGAGTTACAGCCCAACATCTCCTAGCTACAGTCCTACATCACCAAGCTACAGCCCTACATCTCCTAGCTATAGTCCTACATCACCAAGCTACAGCCCCACCTCACCAGTTTATAGTCCAACCTCACCAGCATATAGCCCTACATCTCCTGCATACAGCCCCACATCACCATCTTACAGTCCAACTTCGCCATCTTATAGCCCTACATCACCATCATACAGCCCAACATCCCCGTCATACAGCCCTACCTCCCCGTCATACAGCCCTACCTCCCCGTCGTACAGCCCGACATCACCTGCATACAGCCCTACTTCGCCAGGATACAGCCCAACATCACCAAGCTACAGTCCTACTTCTCCGAGCTACAATCCTTCATCAGCCAAGTACAGCCCTTCACATGCATACTCTCCAAGCAGCCCCAGGATGACCCCATATAGTCAGACTTCTCCAAGCTACAGGTGCGCATAATTCTACGACAATCTGTATTCTTAGTATTGCCTCGAAGGGTACTCCGTGCATACATATCTGTACTGAATGTTACTGTTTCTATTATCACAGTCCAACGTCACCGACATACTCTCCTACATCACCATCATATTCACAACCAAGTCCATCGTACAGCCCAACAAGGTACGTGCCATTCAGATCTCATTGCTTTTGGTGCATCTTCATATATATGCTTGAATATGCTCCATGCTTGCCGTCAGTCTTTCTTAACACATTACCCAATTAATGCAGCCCGTTCAACACCTCTGGAGGACCTAGCCCAGATTATAGCCCAACCTCTCCAAATTACAGGCAAGTCATTGTAGTATCAGACAAATATCTACCTATCATGGAAGATATTGTTTTGTGTTCTGACATCTCATTTTGCACACTGCAGCCCTAGCGGAAGCTACTCCCCAACTGCACCGGGCTACTCCCCATCGTCCACAGGCCAAGGTAATGACAAGGATGATGAGAGCACTCGTTGAAGGCGCTGGAGGATCGGTGATGGCTACATGGGAAGATCCAGCCTGTCGTGCCTTGCTTTTCGTTTCCTTTTTTTCTTCTAATGTTTTGTATGGTTGATGAACTCTGAGAGCAAACTTATTTTTCTTGAGCTGCTAATAGCAGCTAGAGCTGTTACTAGAACTAAGGACTGAACTGTGCGGCAACTTGCTAAGTGGTTCGCCGCATGGTGGCCGTTCAGAGTATCATAGTAACTGATGATGATAAGATCGTGACGGTATTATTGGTACTACTATACTGTGCGTCTATACCATGAGATCTAGTTTTCTCGTTGGATGGTTATGTTCCGGGTGTTTTTTTGGCACTGCAATGTTTCTTCTGGTTAAGCTTCACTTGTTGTCTGGAGTGTGGAACTTGGATGGATCATAAGTCGATCCAAGTCGCACATGGTCTGCAGTATTGGGAAGGCAATAGACCTGCTTTCCTGAATAGACCCTCGCACATCCCATCAAGAATTCAAGGGGCACCTTGTTGCTCTACAATGAGTTTCCTGCTACTCCGTTACAGTTCAACGTCGAGCTTACTAAAAAAGCTTCCAAGAGATGTTTGGGCCATCTGCAAATGTGCTGTTGAATGGTTATTTGGAAAATTCTCCCCAGAACCATTTGTCACAGGCTATCAGTTTGTACTATTGTTGCTTATTTGAGCTGGGAAGGCTTAATGTAACGACCCAAAAACCATTACACGGTAGCCATTCATTTCTAACCATCCAAGTGTGCATGTTTTAATCTAAATTAGGATCTGACTTGTGCCTAGGCCAATCCAAAACTGAGCACTGCCAGTTTTGACGGATCGGCCGACATCACCGCCGGATCGTCCTTCAAGACATCTCACAGACTTAGGATAATCTTGGCTAACTCATGCACTGACGGAGTGTGCGCCGTCACGGCGGAGTGTCTGTCGAAACCGTAACACACTTAACCAGTCTATCGGAGAGTCCGCCGTACCTGACGGATAGTCCGATAAAACACACCGACACCTGTCTCATCCAATTTGATGCGGTGTCACACACACCACACACTGACCCCACATGTCAGCCCGGCCCCACTTGTCATTGGCATCACTCACACACTAACACCCACCAGCAGCCCCTCTCCCCTCCCCATCCTCTCATTCACGTTGGCCACCAGAGAAAGGGAAAGAACGGAAGGACAGAAAGAGAGAAGGGAGAAGGAGGAAGAAGGGGAAGAGAAGGAAGGAAGGAGGAGGACGGCCAGCCCCGGCCGAAGGACGTCGTCGGCAGCGTGCTGCACCTCATCCACGCCGCCAAGTTCGCCGGAGTTGGAGAAGGCCCCAAGCTCCATCATCTTCTACCTCAAGCTCCATGGTGAAGCCCGACGTCGATCTCCCTCCGTGCTGCGTCCCCGACCGAGCTGCTGCAGGTAGAGCTTCCCCTTGACATGGTGAGCACATCCCCAAAGTCCATCTTCATCCTCCCTAACCCTAGCAAGTTCCCCCACGAGCTCCATGGCCTCCCATAGTGATAAGGGACCGTGATGCCTAAGATGGGGAGGGGTGAATTAGACAACTTAAAAATCTACTCTAAACTATGGCCTCTAATTCCACCTTGTCAAAACCTATGCAAGAAGGTAATCTATCTAGACGTGCAACTACGGTTTTACTAGGTGTGTTGCTATCTCTACCGCAAAATAGTTATGCACCCTAGGTTCCAATCCTATCAACTAGCATATCAACTAAGCTAGCAAAGTAAAACAATCAACTAAGGTAGCAATATGAATGCGGAAGGTAAAGATGAGGTAGAGATGCAAACTCCCGTCGATGACTCCGGTATTTTTACCGAGGTATCGAGAAGCGCGCAAGTTTTCCCCTAATCCTCGTTGGAGCCCCTCGCAAGAAATCCCACGCAAGGGCCAAGCTCCCGGTCGGGTAACTCCGTGGATAGCCCCGGGCCTTTCCCACACGCAAGTGGGTCTCTGGTGTGCCTTCCGGCAAGCCTCTCCCGGACCGCTCCTCGCCATCTTCACTATCAAGCTTCTGGCCAAACCGCCGCGGGCCTTGTTCCCTTCAGTACACGGTGGCGGCCACACCACAAACACGGTTGGTGTGGTCTCGTAAGACTACAAGCCCTGCCGAGTACAACAATGGTGCGTGCAAGCACCGAGTGATAAGAGGTTTGCACTAGGCCTAAACCTAGAGCAAGCGCATAAGCGGTGGTCTAATCAACCTAAGCACTTCACAAAGCACCTACGCTAATCACCTAATGAATCACTAAGCACTATGCAAGTGGAGATCACTAAAATAGTGTATCAACACCCTTGGTATGTTTCCTCAGCTCTCCTCTTATCAAATGGCTGGTTTGGGGGGTCTATTTATAAGCCCCATAGAGAAAGTAGCCGTTGGGGGCGAAACCCAGCTTTCAGCTACAGACCGGACGCTGTTGTCGTCCTGACCGGACGCGTCCCGTCGTCTCGACCGTTGAGAGCGCGCGTAGAGATCGGACGCACTGCCAAGTCTGGTCATCATCGATTGGACGCGCCCGGTCGCGCTGGCGCCGCTCTAGAACCTCTCTAGACTCGATCGGACGCCACTGCCTGGCGCGTCCGGTCGTCCACAACTGCTGCGTCCGGTCCTCACTGAGTTGTTGCCGCGATGATGAACAGTGAAGTCCGTGCATCCAGTCACTGCTTCGCTCAGTGTCTGGTCACAGCTGCTGACGCCTGTTGTTGCCGAGCAACTGATCGGACGCGTCCGGTCCTCCTAGGGCCACGTCTGGTCACCTCAGCCGAGCTTGTTTTTTCGCGATCTTGCGTTCGACTTGGTTTCCATCTTCGGCTTGGACTTTGCTTGATATCTTGGGTCTTCTCTTGTGCTTCTAGGGTCTTGCTTTTGGTGTTGATCGTGGGATCATCATGTCGCCTTCGTCCAAGTCACGTCTTGCACCCTATTGAACTACAAAACAATTACTTGGAAATTCATTAGTCCAATTTGGTTGTGTTGGTCATCAAACACCAAAATCCGAAGTAAATGGGCCTAGGGTCAATTTTCCTTATAATCTCCCCATTTTTTGTGATTGATGACAACACGACCAAAACAAGCAAATAATAATTTTTTTGTAATTTAAAAACTATTTACTTGCTAGGATGCAATGCAAAGGGCAATGTTATATGATGCTAAAAGATACCACATGTAAACATCTTTGGAAACTTATGTTGCCCTTGCAAATGTCCCCATGTGGCATTATGGATTTAAGCCTCCCCCTAACTCCATAATCCACTATCCTCCCTTTCTCGGACCATTACCACTTGTAAATTATTACCATAACCACTTGTAAATTATTATGATCGAGCTTGCTTTTGGTCCTATAAATTCTCCCCCTTTGAAATCAAACACCGAAAAGGAAGACATTAGTAGCACAAACTTTGTGATCATTTGTATGTGGAGTGGAATATGTCACAAAATTTGACTCACATTATATAGACTAAGCTCCCCCTGCATACATATGATGGAGAATGTAGTTTATGCATAATTAGCAAATTAATGCTCAAGGGAGTTTAATCTATATAATGCATGAAGAAATCATATAAATACCAAAGTGAAATCAACATGATGATATTGATTTAGAAATACCACATGTGGAAACCAATTTGATTTATACCACTTGTAATAGGTGGTGGATATTTGAAGTATGATGCTTAACTCCGGGGACTCCATTTTCCTTGCAATGAGACTACTACACACATGATAAGCTTAAAAGGTGTTAGTCTCAAAGCATCCAACTTATAGAGTAACCTCCCCCTAAATTTGTGCACACAATAATGGAATACTTGTAGGAGACATGCACATTGACTTTAGAATAAAAAATACCACTTGAAAGATGACATCACATGAATATGAGAATCATTTTCGAAAGTGATATTCGGGAGAAATTATCTATAATTTGGACTTTGGCACAACAATTATAAAACAAGCTATGTGCCGTGCTCCTAAACAATTAAACCATGTAGATTTGCTCCAAGGGTTAAAAGTGAAACCGAGCAAGCCTACCATAAGATATACCTAGTGTATGCAAGACATAAGATTAAACATGTAAGTCCATAGTATTCACTAACCCACTTGGCAATTACCTTGTCAATAATGATGCACCCCATGAAATGCACCCATACTTTGCCAAGTCTCTAAATTTCCTGAAGTCCATCAGACTTCTCACTTCCCTTTCGGGATCCAAACTTTCTTGGTGCTCTTCATGTTGGAAATAATCTCTATTGGCACCCAAATACGTTTGGTCCCATTGTTGGTTTGCTTGTTCACCTCGATGGCCACCACCTTGTTATTATTCTTCTTCTTCAAGAGATAAGGTGTGGAGGTTTTCTTGTCCACCTTGTTGATGTAGGTGTTGGAGAGCTTGCTTGTTTGCCTTTTGTTTTTCTCTTTCTTATTTTCTCCTCTCCCATTCTTCACCTTGCACTCATAGGACTTGTGACCTTCCTTATGGCATACGTAGCAAACCACGGTTTGTTCTTCATCAAGCTTCTTCACTCCCTTGACGGTGTTATCTTGATGAAGTTGGGCTTGCTCCGTCTTGCCTTTCACTTGAGTCAAGTCCTTGGTGAGGCGAGCCACTTCTTACTTGAGTTGCTCATTCTCCATTGCGACCTCTTGTGTGTATGTTTCTACAACAACTTTCTCAACATAAACTTGATTGCACAAGGGTGAGTCTAAACATAAATCATTACAAGAAGTAGAGGCATCCTTTTTAGGCATGTCAAAAATTGAACCTTTCTTTTTAGGTGCCTCGGTGGGGGTTGTACCGACGACTTTAAGATTAGCAACTTTATTAGTTAGCTCATCACAATATTTGCACATAGTTTTCATTTTAGCGAGCAAACTTTTATAATTATCTTGTGAGCTAGCTAACTTTTCCTTTATTTTTTATTTTTATTTACAAGTTGCTCATCATTGATTGTGCAATTATTTATGTTTGCACTAGTCTCAAGTTGCTCAA